AATACATTTAAAATCTCCAATCTCTATGCCATTTGCTTTTTTTAATTGACCCACCTGATTTAAAAACTACTCTTTGAAATTTAAAAAAAAAAAAAAACGACTGCATTTGTTTGTTTATGCCATGGAGGAAGCTTTTGTTAGTGTCCTTTCCCATTACTGTAGTATCCAAGTCAGTGTCCTAAGAGCACAGACAGTTGCAGAAGCTCTTCATTGGAGTGGTGAGCTTTGAAACTATGGATGAGAGTCCAGGAACCAGGTAAGGAATGGCAAAGACTCTTGAACCACTGTGGCAGAGGTGGACACAGTTATGAGTGGGTGGGCACATGTGGTGGCCAGTGAAGCTTTTTTCAAAGGATCCTCAAAGACCAGATGCCACTAACTGAAAAAGGCCTTTGTTGGGGACATTGGAGAAACACTGAGGAACATCACCTCTGAGGTTATTTTGAACAGTCTAGGAAAATAGAAGTGATTGGAATTGTGACTGACAGTTAGTGGCCTTTGACTCAATGGGTAAGATTGTTATCCAAAAATACCGTATGGCACAACTATGAAGAAAGGAGAGCCCGGTCAAAGGAGGAGGTGGCTAGGGCTTCTCTAGCCAAAAGAATGGAAACATTTGTACCTTTGGCACCTAGGAAAGTGGCAGTGACAGTTTTAGTCATGGAAGAGGTCGCGATGGCTCTGGCAGTTTCCTTAGTGGTGGTGGATATGGTGGGAATGGCTACAGTCAGTGTGGTAACAAAACCATTCTGGAGGTGGTGGAGACTGATGATTTTGACAGTTACAATGATCAGTTTTCAGATTTGGACCAGTGAAGGGAGGAAACTGTGGTGGAGCCCAGCACTTTGCCACATTTTTAAACCAGGGTGGCTGTGGTATTTCCATCAGCAGCAGTAGCTGTGGCAGTGGCAGGTTTTAATTACTGTCAGGACACAAAGCTCAGCAGGGGAGGAGAGCCAGAGAAATGACAGGGAAGTTACAGGTGACAGCAGTCCTATGAATTTGGCCAAGCACAGGCACAGCAGGATATGGCTGCAACAAAGATGTGTTTTAGGCAGTACTTGTATCTGGGCAAAACCCTAAGGACTGTATCGGTGACTGGCCATAAAACAAATTGTTTAGTTTCTATTCTGTGGAAAGTGCAATGCATTCCAATAAAGGATATCAGTGTGGACTTTTTCTTTTTCCACCCCTGTGTTGATTGTTGAATGTCACAGTTGGATGTGATGCTGAATAATTGTGCCTTTAAAAAAAACCAAATATGTCAAAAACATAGCTATAGAGTTTTTGATTACCTTGTATGGGTTGGTCTTAACAACCTTAAATGAGTTGGATAAGCCTTGTATTTCCTGAGACTGTAAAGAATTATTTCTAAATTTATGGAATACAAATGTCCATTTTAAAATAAAATCATCTCTTAACCTCACTTGCATTTTTCTTGTTTAATGCAGAAACCTAACTTGTAAAATGGAGTTGTTAAAGTTAAAACATGATCAGATCAGGTTTTGAATTATATTTAAGCAGTATGACTACCATTAAGAATGTAGTGATATATCAACTCAAAAGTTATCTCTTATTAGAGAACATGAATAAAATTTTAAATTTATCTTTAGTTCGTTCATAATACATTTATCCCTTTACATAGAGGGAATATACTATTTCTTATGAAAAGTAACTCCCTTGATTTAAATATTTTGAAACTTACTCTATAAGTTTATAAACATTTTTAAAGAGTATCTAGATATCCTCTCACAGTTCTTGACATATTGTTATTATGAGCTTAATGGTAACAGTTTTAATGTAGATATAACACAATCATCAGGCAAGAGTCAGCTTCGTAACTATCTTTTGTGGAGACAGCATAGCTAATTATAAATTCTCAAATAATATACCTCTACATGCTTGTACATAAACCTATACACATGTAATACATCTTTTCAGAAATTCTCATTTTTGTTGGTTATCCACTCTATAAAACAATTTCATTTTTCTTAAATTTGAATTTTTATGGTATATTGCTATCTGAACTACTTCATGTGGCAAAGTAGTTTGCCTTTATTGCTGTACAAAAGTAGAGGATGCATTCATCAGCTCAGTGGTTGTTGATTGTTTCTCTTTTTAAAATACGATTGTCTGGGTTCTAAAGTCCTGATTTCTGTGCGGGCTGTAAAGAAACACAGAGATGTCTATGCGTTTTTTGATTCTGATAGGTAAACTACAGGCAAGGAAGGACCTTTCAGTTTGTTTTGCATCTGGTGAGTAGAAACACTAGATGGTGCTATTTAATAACTTCCAAGAAGTTTAAGCTCCCTGGGAGGGCATGCATCATGTATGTATGCAGCTTAAATTTAAAATGAATTGCATTTATACTTAAATATTATGAAAAAAGTAGGCTTACTAAAATTATAAAGGAAAATGCAAATAGCAAGCAAATCCTGACAGGAACCAAAAAGGAGTGCCTAACAAACTTACAAGTAGGAAATGAACATCATTTTTAAAAACCAGCATCCAAGTGTGTGACTGATAATTCAGTCTAATGAGTAAACATTTTTTCTTGAGTTATCTGGCATTTAATGTTCAACTTTCATTAAAAAAATGTTAACATCTCTTTTTGTTGCTTTTGTTGTTGTTTATGCTGAAATAAACTATTTACTTTATCCAGCTTCATAATCTACTGGCAATTCAGAAGCAGGGAAGAAATATTACATTGTCTTTTGTATGTACTGTCACTGGTGTAAGATTGTAAATGCTTTCTCCATGGTGACAGTATACATTCTGCTTTTTGAAAAAGAAGAAGAAACATTTTTTACTTTAAAGGAACTTTCATAGTAAATTAGAATAACAGCTGTTAATCTTGCTTTCACTTTTGATAAAATATAATTGATTTTAAGTGGTTACTGCTTATTAAGCCCAAAGACTAAAGTACAATCTGACAATCAAAGCCTATCCTTTAACCCATACAGGAGTCTTAGAAAATAATACTTATGATATAGTACTATTCTTAGTTCAGCACTGGAAGAGCACTGGTTCAGGAGGTTGTTGCTCACCTATAGGACAGTGTTAGGAACTGTCCATACCCAAGTCTCCTGCCCTTCTATGTTTGGTGGTAGTGGTGGTAGCAGAGGTTGTTTATGGTACTGGGGATTGAATTCAGCATTTATACACTGAGCTACATCCCGAGCCCTAATGTATCTTGAGACAGGGTCTCAGTAAGTTGCTAAGTATCCCAGGCTAGATTGAAACTCACAGTCATCCTGCCTTGGCACCTTAGAATACTAGTGTTAGAGGTATGCACTATTCATATGGTATGCTTTTAAGTCAACATTTCTGCTTTTTCTGATGTTATTAAATTAACCAACCCAGTACTTAGAAATGAGCAAACAGATGCCATTATTACCTCTAAAGAAATTTTCCACTGAACAGATTTTCTTTGGATCCCTTATACCTGAAAGAATTGTCAACAGAGAAAGTTAGAGTTTTATATGCATCAAAAGTAGAAATAAGATCAGTTTTTTGTTTGTTTTCACTAGTACTGGGATTGAACCCAGGACCTTGTATACACTGGAAAAATGCTCTATGTCACTGTATTTTGAGACAAGAACACACTAGGCTGGCCTTAAACTTGATGTCCTTCTTGCCTTTGCCTCACTGGTAGCCGGATTGTAGGTGTGTGTTTACCAGTTTAAAATTTTTAACAAAGTTAAGAGCACCATGTTCAATAAATCTGTGTCCCAATATGATTGGTGGGCAGTTTTAAATTTAGAGTTCCTAAATGATTGAGAGGATGTATAAGCAACTGTTAAATATTTCAAGAGGAAATAGCTGAATAAAGCATAATGCTTAATTTGAAGAAAGAGGAAAGTAAGAAAGTTATAAATTAGCCATCTTGGAGAAATGAAAGTAGTTTCCTCACAATAAAACTATTTTTACACCAACTTGATTTTTATTAGCAATGTATTATTCTACTGATATGTTCTTACCCTCTATATCTATCATGCTGAGTCTAATAGCTATAAAATTATATGGGTGTAATTTTATGAGTGTAATTATATGGTTGTAATTTTCTTAACTTTACAACATAACTCCTTTAGTATAATGAAAAGTGAAAATTTTGAAATGGAAAAAAGAGGGCAAATAAGTACACTTTGGATAAGTGGAAAATAAAGGCTAACTTTTGGTATTCTGTGCACTTCAAGCCAAGAATTCAGAACAAAGATTTATATAATACTGAAATACAAAGTCCGTATTTTCTCTGTGGCTGTAGGGCAGTTTGCAGCTTTATCTTATTTGTACGTAAAGAAGCAGTGGGTTAAAGTTAAAGATACTGGATGGGAAATTGGGATTCTAGACCTTGTTCTGTCATTAAGCATTTGATTGACCATGTCTTTGTTTATTTGAGACAGGTCTCACTATGTAATGCAGGCTGGCCTCAAACTCATAGCTATCCTCCCGTCTCAGCTTCCTGAGTGCTGGGGTCACAGGCATGCACCACCACCTTAGCTTGAACATGTCTCTTAACTTCTGTTTTCTCTTCTATAGAATGAGGGATTAAACATGTTGATCACATGAAAAATGACATATAGAAAAAAATGGGGCTGGGGATTTAGCTCAGCAGCATCAGTGCCTGCCTTGCAAGCAGGCAGTCATGAGTTCAATCCCTGGTACTGATAAAAAAACGAAAAAGACCAAAAAAAAAAAAAAACAACGACATATAGAAAAAATGTGAAAGTATTTTGTATGCATAGAGATGGGCTACAGATAAAAAGTACATTGTAGGTGATATCTGTTTTGTCTGTGACTGATATGAAGATTAAGTAGATTCCCAGAAAGTGCCGAGAATGGACCTGACACTTGGTAAGTATCAGCTTTTGCTGATAGAAAATGGAACAGAAAGCAGAGGTTCATTACTAAACACTTGTCTCTGAAAGGTTGTATGTTAAACTGCTTTACAGTCTACACCCAAAAAAGATTTTTAAATAAGCACGTGTTTTATTTTCTAGGATCAAATCTAAATCGCTGTGGCTTCCGAGGCTCTTCGTATCTGGGTATTCCATTCAACCCATCAAAGGTTAGTTCTCTTTGGGTCTGTAGAAAAAAGAATGTAGGTAGGTTTTAGTGAGAAAAAAGAACTGAAGAAATTACTAAAAAAAAAGTATACTTTGAGGTTTTCATATGGCTAATTACTGTGTAAACTGAAGCCTCTGAAGAGAATCCTAGACCTCCTCTGGAAGATTTACAGTACACATATGCAGAAACTTACATCAGTTGTTACCAAAACTCACTGTTAAATACTTGCACATGTATGTGCAAAAATTTTTAGTGACTTCCTGGAGAAATGAAAAGTAAAGCACTCAAGTACTGTGATGCCTGCTTTCTAAGAAAACCAGTAAACTTGCATGCCTTGTATCGGACTTCACCATCCGTTCTCGTGACTCAGGAACAAAAGAAGACACTGTTCTCAAGGCAGTGGTTGCAGATCCAGACGGTGATGAATTTTTTGACATTATGGCAATTATGCCCTTCCTCAGTATGGCAGCCAGCGGCTTTGGAATCAGCCTGAGCCAGTGTCAAGCGCAGAGTCCTACCACAGTGAAGCTTATTTCTTCTGCAAAGAAACAGACCCAGGACTTTAGGTATTCCGGTTGTGTACAAAATCACCAGTGTTTTTCTACCATAGAAAGTGGAGAAAAACTTCATTTTTTTAATTTAAAAGCTGGGGAGCCAAGCAAGCACCTCTCCTCCCTGGTAAACTGTGTTGGTCTGGCAAACTGTGACCCTTCCAGGGGGAGAACCAGCAGCAGCAGCTCCTGAGATCCATGCCATGTTGGAACTTGGGACACTGGGAAGCCAAGCAGGCACCTCCCCTCCCTAGTAAGCGGTAGCAGTGTGGCAGACTGCAGCCCTTCCAGGGGGAGAACCAGCAGCAGCTCCTGAGATCCGTGCTATGTTGGAACTTAGGACGCTGGGAAGCCGAAGCCAAGCAAGCACCTCCCCTCCCTGGTAAGAAGTGGTGGTGTGGCAAACTGCGGCCCTTCCAGGGGTCGAACCAGCAGCAGCTCCTGAGATCTGCACCATGTTGGAACTTAGGATGCTGTGAAACCAAACAACCAGCCTGCCTCCTTGCTAAGTAATAGTGAACCTACTGATGCTGATGCACGGCCTAGAGCCAAATATCCCATTCCCCTATTTCCGCCCCCCCCCCCCCCCCCCCGCCCATTAGCAAATGGGAACCAGAAATCTGAGCATCTCCTGGGAGGCTGACATAGCAAATAAGGGGGACTTCCTTCTACCATCTCTTTGAAGGCAAATATTTTTATTACTGTTTTGCTCTTTTCTGATTAATAGTACTGCTCTATTCAATATTCTGTTTTAATAAGTTCTATAGTGTTCTATATTTCATCTCATTTTGATATACGTGATTGAAAGAACAACTATTACAAAGATAACAAAATATACTGTGATACCTATTACTGTTATCCCGGTAACCTGCTGTGAAGTTCTGTACCAATTTCACTGTACGATCTTAGTTGGCTTTATTCTGTCTTGTTCTGTTGTATACTTTCAAAATAAAATTAAAAAAAAAAGTCTCCACAAAATGGAAGCTTACTTCTTGATGGAGTCTTTCTCTAATTTACTGATTATAAGCCAGTGTCTGATTTCACTGTATATCCCAAGATTTGTATTCATTTAAAGACAAAGTGCTGCTGGTTTCTCTATACTTTAATTTTTTGGAATAAATAGTGTTTTGGAGAAGGCATGGCATGATAGAGGAGTTGCTTCAGTTTGCTGTCTTTGCCTGAAGCTACAGACCAGCTTACCTATGTCAAAGCCATGAGTTCACCAAGATGTCGTCACAGGAAATGTGAATCTTTTGTGATTTGCAGGGAATGTAAAAACAACAGACTCATTAAATATTTCTTTTTTTATACATAGATTTACTAACTTTAGCCAGTACTGAAGAAAAGTGGTCTTTTTGGTTAGTTGTAATGAACAGGATATCAGTGTCATGACATTGTTAATGATGACGGTTATATAATACTAGACCATGTGTGTATGGATACTAATACTTAAAGTAAAATCATTGCCTTTAAAGAATAATCTCTACCACCAGGAAATTTTATTTATTTGGTTGGGTTTTTTAATGTTTCTCTTTTTTCTTGGTATAGAAGGTTCTGGGAATTAAACTCAGTTCTTTCACACTGAGCACATCTCCAGCCTTGTTAGTAGTTTGTTTACTCATTTGTTTGTTCAGATATAGAGTCTCACTAATTCACTAAATTGCTCAATCTGGGCTCTGCCTTATAATCCTCCTGCTTCAACTGCTCAGAGTACACATCTTGCTGTTTGTTTGTTTGTTTGTTTTCAGGTGAGTGTCTTTCTGTTTTGCTAAGTTGGTCCCAAACTCCTGAGCTCAAGTGATCCTTGTTGCTACCTGAATACCTGAGACTAGAGAGGCATCCACTGTGCTCAACCCCTAAAAACAGTAACTAAAATTAGACAGTTTTTCCCTTGGTTCACAGATTCACATGAAACCCATTTTGGGCCCTTGACTTACCTGAACCCTGTCAGCATCTGGGGATGCTAGCTATCTCTCTCTCATGCTGTTGTTCATCTGAATTCTCAGTGGGAGGAAGAGCTAAAAACTCAAGGTGGATTCACACAGGGCAGCAAGGCGTTGTCACTTAATGTGGTAGCCTAGAGTCTAGGAAACAGATGGGGCTTTCTTTACAAGCCACCACACACCTTGCTGACTATTGACTTGACTTGATGAGTGCCTGGCAGTTAGTGGCCACAGAGCACTGGTGGAGAATCACTGACAGCTCCTCCAGCCCACTTTTCTTGCTGATTTTGTTCATAAATACCAAAATTCTTCATGGTCTTTTAATGTGTACTGTAGACTTTTCCTTTTCTGCTTTGCTTTTATATTTTAACTTCTACGTGTAGATCTTGTCCAGCTGCTTTTCTGCTGCAATAAACAATCGCTGTAATCCTCATGTGTTATTATATCTCCTTCCTATTCACAGTAGTCTCCTTTGTGCTACAGTTATTTGATCAGGTCTCTCTTTTGCCCTGAAGATTGAGTTCTACATTTGATTCATGTTTGGATTCCCTATAGATTTTTTTATTGTATATATAATAATAGTTTGATTTACATACCAAAAAATGAAATATGTTAAAAGAGTCCTAAGAAGTCTGTTATACATGTGGAATAGAATAGCCAAGAGAATTAAAACTTGAGTTTCCAAGAAAGGACTTAGGATGAAAAATTCCTTGATGAAAACTTATTTGGGGGTAGAAAGAAGATGGTGGCTTGCTATCTATAGCTGGGTGGAGAGCCTCTCTGGGAAAAACAGCTCAGACACTGGAATTTGACAACATGGAGGAGGCTGGATGAGTGGAGAAGGATTCTCACAATCCAGGAGGAAACTGAGGAAAAGGGGAAGAGGAAGGAAAAACGCAGGTGGAGGGCTGGAGCCCGACACGCTCATTGAGAACAGTCCCGCACTGTGGAGTCAGATGATTCAAGGTCACGCTGAAGCCGCAGCTGCCAATAACGGGAGTTGGTGAGTCCCAGACCCCTGGCAGGAGGACGCAGCGCAGTGTGGAGTGGAGCCAAGGTGGAGAGCTGCATTAATTCACGGTGAGTGCTGGAAATTAGGTCCTGTGGCAGGTTTGGCCAGCTGGAAGACATATTGCAGTTGGGCAGGATAGGCCTGAGTCCAGCGCGGCAGTGACATCAGTTAGCAGCCCCTGACCCACAGAGGACTGGTGGGATCTGCTTGGGCTGAATCACACTCCTCGTTGGGACCCAGTAGCCAGGGACAAAACTGTCCTGATGCTGTGATGTCCGCATAGCACAGGCTAAGGTACTAAAGACACTTGGTGATTGGCTGGCTGAGAGGAGAGGGGCCAGCCCACAGTCCCTGCATGTACTTCGGATAACAGCAAACTGGAGAGGGCAGCAAGCCCCCAGCCAGCATAGAAAAACTGTAGGCAATATGGAGAGGGCCTGAGACTTCCCACACACACCTGTCTGAAGGAAACCAGAAACATGACAAGAGAAAGAAATACGAAAAAACCTCCAGCTGCTCACCCTGGGAAAATAAGTCCAAGAGGTAAATACAGAAGAGATCCAGTGCAGCAAGCATGCAATATTGGCCACAACAACAGCAGACATAAAGAAATAACCTTCATGACCTCATAGATGAACTTAAAACTGAAATTCTAATCCAAGTAAGGCAAGATATAAAAAGATTAATAAAAGAAATGCTAAGCCCCTCTGAAGAAGACACAGATGGAAGAATGGAGGAACCCAGAAAAGGAAAAGAAACCTTTGGTAAAAATATAAACAAAATCTAGAATGCATGAAACAGATCCAAAGAGATTAGCAGAAAATTTTTTTTTTTTTTTTTTTTTTTTTTTTGCCTTTTTCCTTTTTATCGGTACCGGGGATCGAACTCACGACTGCCTGCTTACAAGGCAGGTGCTTGTGCCGCTGAGCTAAATCCCCAGCCCCGATTACCAGAAAATTTAAAGTCCATTGAAAGCTGGCAAAATGCCCTGATAGAAACTAAAGTTAGCCTTTCAAAACATGAAGATAGATTTGCAATGTGTGATTGTGAAAGAAAAGATCTCTTAAAAATAGTAAGGAGCCAAGAAGTAACAATTCAAAGGCTAGAAGATGACAAGAGGATCTATAATTTAAGGATAAAAAATGTGAGCAAAGAAGGATAACCACAAATGAATTACAAAAGCTATTCACAGAAATAATTAAGGAAAACTTCCCAAGCATAGGAAAACAAATGATATCCAGATAAATGAGGCATATGGAACTTTTTAATAAAACTGCTATGTAGTGCTATGTTCACTTATATGATGTCTGACCATGTGGACAATTCTATTGAAAATAACAAGAGAAAGCATAGTAACTACTGTAGATTACCTAATATTGTGGTTTTATATGTCTTTTTCATTTCATGTTTTTCTAAGAATTTGTTTTGTTTTGTTTTGTTTTGATCTGTTTTTCCCTATAATACAGAAAGGGTAGGTATACATGTAGAGATTCACACATGTGGAGAATTTCTAAACAGTTTACAGGAACAGATTATAATGCATGATGTAATGAGCACATACTCTGAAGAGACACTAAGATACCCAGTGCTAATTCTGTAGCATTATGATATAAAATCTAGCAATACTGTTATTCACTGTTCAGAATGATACTAGTCTAGTCTCATGTTTAATTTCAGCATACGTAAAGATAAGGACAACTACTACAAAGAAAATGAGAGACATTATGGCAGCCATTTTTGACTTCCCTAATGTCAGATCTTGAAGACCTAAAAAGCCTTCATCATTCTGTTCTGATCAGATCACTACTATAATGTTCAGTATGTATTCACTGTGTGTGAAGATGGGGACAACTGTTTGGAAGAAAACTAGAGACAGTGAAGTTCTCCAGTGGACTTGCTTTGAAATCCATGTTTCTTAAAATTGTTTCCTTACGATCTGTTTTGTTATGTTTGATCTTACCCTCTTTAAAATAAAAAAAAAAAAGAAAGAAAACTTGTTTGGTAAATTTATGAGGCCATATAAGAAGTATATCATTATTAAATAACATCTTTCAGACAGTTAATCATTTAATCCTCACAATAACCCTATGAGGTGTTTACTGTTATATCCCTTTTCCACAGTGAGAAAAATGAGGCAAGCCAGTAAGTAGTAGAGTCAGAATTTAGTGTCTCACAGTGATTGTAGAAATTAACATTTACTTACAGGAAGTGGAGAAATCTATTTTAATCAAAATCTTGATATGAATTTTATTGTAATTACCTAGTATGTTGAGCAGTTATTTTAGTACTTGAGTCCATTATTGGTAAAGTCAAACTGAAGAAGAGAAGCCTATGAGAATACAAAATAAGTGTACATAAATACTTACTCTATCAAAAATAAAACTACCTAAACTGATGAATCAGCTGTATACTGTGCCTCTACATTTTTCAAATGAAGTCTTTTTTAAAATAACCAATAGAATCAGCTGATTATTTGAAGTTAACTATAAAGTTAAGTTTTATATTTAGCACAATAAGCCATTTGTGGATTGAATTTTATGTATGACAGTGCCATGTTCCATGGTCTTCATAGGATTTCTATCAGAAGTCATGTGTTTTATAAAGTTTCAGAAATCTTTGGTAACTAGTTTCAGTTATCTTTTAGTCAAACAGTACAAGTTAAATTAATCCCACTTACACTGTAGTAATAGGAGTTTTTGGTCTGATTTCCCATCTCTGGAGTTGCCAGTCTTGTAGTTAGTGCCCCTGCAAGAACATAGGCTTCACAAAATGCTCTTTGAAAAAGCTATAATAGGGGCTGGGGATTTAGCTCAGCGGCATAAGCACCTGCCTTGTAAGCAGGCAGTCGTGAGTTCGATCCCTGGTACCGATAAAAAGGAAAAAGACAAAAAAAAAAAAAAAAAAAGAAAAAGCTATAATAACCCATTTGAACTCAAAAGAGCAAAAGTTACAGTATTTTATTTCTAGATAATTTTTCAGTTTTAGTATTTTGAGTTCTGCTTTTTAAAATTTTTTTTGCTATTGTAAGTCCTAGTGTCTATTGGGAGACTCATAGTTCAACTTTATATGATAGCAGAACAATAAAGTTTTCCAGTGTATTTTTAATATGCTGATTACTAATATGGATTTTAAATTTGTACTGTATAGAAGAATTTTTCTTGTATAAGTCATTTTTCAAAAGACTATGCTTTTTCTGATTTTATAGGACTTAAATTATGAGTGATAGAGTTGGTTAATTCTGAGGTTCAAATAATTTGATTTATTCAAATATAAATATTCCCATAAACTTTGAGGTTTCGAAGCTGAATTTTAAAAATTATTTAACTTGGTGATGCATGGCTGTTATCCCAGCTACTCTCCAAGATACTGGGGCAGGAAAATTGGAAGTTTGAGGCCAGCCTGGAAAACTGCAAGACTGTGTCTCAAAAAAAAAAAAAAAAATTTATTTAGTCATAGTTACATGTTATTGAGACACATAAAAATGGAAGTTTATTTTTTTTATTGGATGTCTATACAATTCAGTGTAAGCAACATTTAAGTTTTCTGTTTATTAAAACTTCATATGAAATTACTGAAACTAATTTTGTATTTTGATTCATTAACATAATATTCATGTTTGTATTTAGAGTCCTGGCACAGCTCATCCATATGATAGTGGTCACATAGCAATGACCTACACTGGCCTTTCATGTTTAGTTATTCTTGGAGATGATTTAAGCCGAGTAAATAAAGAAGCTTGTTTAGCGGGTTTGCGAGCCCTTCAACTGGAAGATGGAAGGTATGAGTCATTCATTGTTACTTTTTTAAAAATAAGACTGTTTAGAGATTAAAAATAAAGGACATAGTACTACATTAGATCTTTAAAAATTGTATACTCTTTTAGAAGTGCTGAATGTTTATACAGTTAAGTGCTTAGTCAAAAAAGTGGCCAAGATTTTTGTGTGTGTGAGGGAAAATAAAAATAATTTTACAGTGGCAGAACTCCTTCCTTATTATTGTCAATTTATCTTCTAAATGAAAAAAAGAAAGGCTGTTTTGAAATTAGGGTACAGTTAGTCTAAGCTTTTGTTCCTTGAAGATACTGATAGGGGAGAAGAAGATGAATTTTAAATGTCAAGTTTCTATACATAGATAGTTTGAGATACTCAAGAGATAAAAGAAATTGATATGCTAACATTTGATCGTTTTATGGTATGTCTAAGGAATCTTCCAATGGTTTTAAGTTAAAAGTAATTTTTATACCTGTGGCCCTAGGACTCAAAAAGCTGAGGCAGGAGGATTGTAGGGAGTTTAAGGCCAGCCTAGGCTACAAAGTGAGTTCAAGGCCAGCCTGAACTTCATAATCAAACTGTCTCAAAACAGCCCCCCAAAAAAGTTTTGTTTTTTTCTTGAGTGGCTAAGGCATGAAGACCACTATGAGTTCTAGGCCACATTTTTATAACGAGATCCTGTCTCAAAAGATAGTAATAATTTTTAAAGCTGGGCATGGAGTCATTCTAGTCTTAGAACTCTGGGAAGCTAAAGCAGGAGAATCATAAATTTGAGCCCAACCTGAGCAACTTAAGGGCTACCCTGTCTCAAAATAAAAAATAGAGAACTAAGGGTATAGCTTAGTGCAAAGGCCCTAGTTAGTCCTCATGACTGCAAATAACATTATTATTATTATTTTTAAATTCAAAAAATGATAAAGTCACAGTGATGCTGAGGAAAGGACCAAAGCCAATCTCCACTATGTTGTGTGTTTGTGCTTCATCTAAATCTCTACGTTTCTGTCAGTGTTTGCAAAACACTGTTCTCGATTAGGGAGAAATAGTGTAGACATAAGTTGACAGTTGAAGGTACTATAAAACTAAGGATTTAGTACATCAGAACATGTGACTTACATGTCGGTATTGTCCTTGATTACTGCCACCTCGTCTTTGTTTTTAGATGTAAACAGATACGGAGCACAGATTAATTTTTTGGTGGGATCTGAAGTGCCACCTCACTTTGTAGTGCAGGCTGGCTTTGAACTTATTAAGTAGCCTAGGATGATCTCGAACTCCTCACAGTGACCCTCCCACCTCAGTTTCTTGGGTGCTGGGATTAGAAGTGTGCACCACCATGCCCAGCAGAACACCTCTTGAAAACTAAACAAGTAGCAAGACACAGTATGGTCAATTAATTGTTAACAGCAAATACATTTTAAAGAAATTCCACACAGAAAGACATGGGCGGGAATTATTTATTACTCAGTAGGTATCAGTTTTCCCTGCAGTGTTTTCTGCCATTAATTCTCAACCCAGTATTACAGCTTCCCTTCTTTAGGAGTAAACTCATTCTGAGGGCAGCATCTGGGGGAAGTAGCATGGTCCCTATAACAATACCCAGGAATCAGAACTTTGAAACAGTGATGATCAATTACCCAAGTTAATTCTGCTATTATGTAATAAAATTAGAGTATGGTTTTTAAATCAGTGATATTTTTGTGAGTAACATGAAATAGCTGTTTCTAACCTCCCTGCAGTCTAGTGTGAATAGAAAATCATATTACTGTTACCTGTTTTAGTTTCTGTGCAGTACCTGAAGGCAGTGAAAATGACATGCGATTTGTGTACTGTGCTTCCTGTATTTGCTATATGCTCAACGACTGGTCAGGCATGGATGTGAAAAAAGCCATCAGCTATATTAGAAGAAGTATGGTGAGTTATGTTAATAAAATTGGCTAGGTTGTTGTTGCTGGTGCTGCTGTATAATGTGTGCCTCATCTCTTCCCCCAGGAACTTTGAAATAAAGGCAGTAAGATTGCTTTCTTAGTATAGCTTATCATGTATCAAAACACCATACAGAAATAATTTTGGGGGGCTAGAGACTAAATTGACTCATTGGCCATAAAATTTAATACTTTCATATATATATATTTTTTTTTAAGCTGCGATTTTAAGAATAATAGTGGAAAATTAGTCTTTCACATAATTTTATCTTTTTTTATTGGCAATAGTAAGGAAAACTTAATCTTAGCTGCAATTACCCTTTGCTCTGTTTCACTTCATATATAAAATTGGAGAAAACAGAACTTTTGCTTCCCAGATTTATTGCTTTACAAATATGAAGCCTTCAGTTTTTTATATTAGAATGTATAAAGCTGTAATTCAATCAGAATTGTATCTCAAAATGAAAGTGTAATTTCCTAAAGAAATGTTTGTTTTAACTAAGTATATAACTGGATCAGATTTTGAGGAATATACAGTAGCACATATTTTTAAACACTTGTAGATGCAGAAAGAGACTCTTAAATATTAAGAAGAAATGAGATTTTTGCCAGGTGAGGGAGTGGATGATTTGCCATGAATAGTACAAAAATAATATTTACTCATTGCGCTGTATATGAAGAATGCAGTATACAGATCTGCTCAGTTGGCTAAGGTAGTATATGCCAGTTTTCTCTGTAAAGTTACTGGATTTTTCCTGTAATTATTTAGTATCTCTTTGTGAGATACCTGGAAACTCTGTAAATACCCTCTCATCATACATTACCTGTTGGCATTGTTGGCGTGCATTGAAGACTTTCCAGCAGTAGCATCCATCCTGCAGCTGTCAGTTGAAATTCTGTTTAAAAAAAAAAAGCTTTCCTCCTTCATTTCTTTACTTACTTGTTTGTGTCAATATAACTCTAGATTCTTCTTTTATTTAGTGGATTATAATCTTTTACATCATTATGTTACTTTGTTGTCTCAAATATAGCCAATGAGAACCTTTCCAAGCATATTCAGTGTCCTTTTGATGTGTTCACTTCATTCTTCAAGGATCTCCTTGCTTTCTGGCACAAGTATTTCAGGTTCATCTTTTACTTTTCCAGCCTTAGTCCTGAAACCATCTCTTCAAGAAGCTTTGATTTTTTTTTTTTCTTATTTAGAAACCAGAGTTTTGGTACTAGATGTGCTTATTGCTGTCACGGTACCATTGCTTCCGGCGCTCTTGGCTGGCAGTGGTAGGAAATGTATTATTTTGTGTTTTTGTGTATACAAATAGATACCCCTGACACCCAATCACTGTTTCTGTATCTTTTTACCAGTCTATTTATTAAAAACCCAGAATCCATGTGGATACCTGAGATTTCAATCTAACTGCACAGGTTCATTTAATTTTTCTTTTTAATATGGTCATGTATTATTTATTTGAAATACAGTTTATGGATTTCTGTTTGGGTTCTGTCTTAACCATTCCCTTCATTTAGACCCTCAAATAGCAATGTATAGAGTAGTGTATATAATTCCAGTTACAAATTATGCTATAATTAATAACCTTCTGCATATATATTAATATATTTTTCAAGATATATTTTTAAGTTAAATTCTTGGTAGTGGAATTGCTTGATCAAAGGCTAAATGCCATGTGTAATTAATTTTATTAGCTATATCCCATTTTCTTTTCAGAAACATGAAATTTTTTGAAATTTGTATTTCTACCAATATAGGAGAATACATGTTTCCATGCAGCCTTTCCAAAGGAATTCAGTAAAATTTTACACATCTTTTAGAAAAAAAAAAAGTTCTGAGACAGTAGTGTCCTTTTGCCTGGGCTGCCTCAGATTTGCAGGCATCCACCTCAGCCTCCTGAGTAGCTGGAGCTTCAGACATGAGCCACTATTGCCATTTATACTTTTTTTTAACCCCTGGTGATTAAAAATTTTTATCTCAGTGTATTTTTAATTCACATTTCTTTTATTATGAGTTACAGTGGCCATTTTCTTACTTCAAAATCTGTATAAAACCAAGTTGTAGGCCAAAAGTTTTGGAGTCTTTTGTTCTTATTGATTATTGTACTACTTGTAGGTTTCTTTTTTTACTTGAAGTATTTCAGGGACTGGGATTTAGCTTAGCGGCATGAGTGCCTGCCTTGCAAGAGTGCAGTCATTGAGTTTGATCCCCGTTTGCAAAGGGGGGAAAAATAGTCACTGAAAGTATTTCAGTTTTTTGTACACTTTCTCACTTGTCTTTCATTTTATCCATTTTCCCTCTGAACTTCTTTTACTTCTCATTTTTATTGCCTTGGCTGCTTTCTACATGTTTTCAGTTTCCCCTATTCAATTTTAATTTAAAAAATTATTTTTAGGCACCTTATCATTTAGTCTTTCTTACTTGTATGCTTCTTTTTTTTCTTGAAATTATTTAACTCATTAGTTTTTCCTATCAATTTTCTGTTATTAATTTTTAATTTCCTTTACCTATTCCCAAATGCTTGTTTGAGGATATGTCATTCACTTTAGAATATTCTGTCTGCTTTGTGGCTGTTTTTACTGATAGGGACAGATGGATTTTCATATACTGAGGCATTTTCATTCCATTTTCTGTTTTTTTATCTAAGTTACTGTGTATATAGATTTATCTTTTCCTTTTTTTTTTTTTTACTAATTTCATAATCTTTTTTCTTTAAATGCAGCAGTGATTTAATGGTTAATTCTTTTTTAGTGGCAGAAAAATTGGTTGTGTGTTCCATGACTTTGCCAGAAAGGAGGTTCTGTATTGTTTCTTGGGTTTCTAGGTTTTGTTCTTTTGAACTTTCCTTTATTGGCTGATCCTCAAGAGCCCATCTCCCTTCCTTTGGGTGAGAAGTCATGCCCTTTGAGCACTGCAGTGTTGACTTGTGGCTCTTTTAAGCCCATTCCTTAGACTGAGTGCTGTCTCACACGCCTCTGTAGGCTAACTTTGCATAGCAGTGCCAGACCAAAATGACAGTCGTGTAGACAGAAATGATGCAGAGTGATTCTGACTATCAGTGGGGAAAATGTTGATTATTCTATAATGTTTACAGTTCTTGCCAAAACGTAAAAACTCTTTTACTATCAGTTGCAAATGTTTAGAGAGTATTTTAATAGTAAAATTAATATTTAATATGTTATAATTTTAAATGTAAAAAAATACTAAGAAATTGTTTCCCTCGAACCATGTTTGGCTTCTTATTGTTACATAAGTTACTATGTGGAACAACCACTATTTCTAATGATCATAATCTCTTCTAAGTTTATATCAGTTTTTAACATTTTCTCCTTTGTGTGTTCAGTGTAATGACACTTCCCTCAGAATTCCTTTTATGTGAGGTGTTTAGCATGCAGCCTTCTCTGGCATGTCTTTGCTCTTCTCCTGTTAACTCCTTCTCTTGCTCACGTGGATGTTTCACCTTTACTTGTCCATCCAGCTGCATGTCTGGAGTCTCTCAGACGACTGCATTGCTGACATTTTCATGATATTTTTTCTAGTTGATTTTCACTTCCAGTATTAGTCCTTTTTATTTCTTTACATGTGAGTTTATCACTGCGAGATAAAGAAACAGCATAGCCACATCCTTTGCTCTTTTATATGAATTAACTAGCACATACATTAACTACAGACTGCAAAGGAGAATGTCATTAGTCACTCATTATGACGCATATCTATTATGTAATGATGTGGACTATAGAATTTGTACTTTATGCAGTTATACACAGTTAATATTATTATTGGTATTGCAATTAGAATCATTTTTTAAATCATTATTTAAACCACAGTAATTGAAATTCATACGTATTGGACCAAGGTCTGCCTGTGATTTCACTCTTAGGGTGTGCTTTCTATTTTAGGCGATAATTTTAAATCAGTCTCAGACGTGCTCATGAGCTTCTTTACTCTTTCCTTTCCTTTCCTTTTTTTTTTCCTTTTTCTTTTGAGACAGGACTGAGTCATTAAATTGCCCAGGGCTTGACTTGAAGTCTTCTTGCCTCAGCCTCCTAGAGTGCTCGGATTACAGTCATTGCCACCATTCTGACTTTTGTCCTCTTTCTTACTCATAGTTCTTCATAAATCGCCTTTGCTCTCTGCAAACGTGATCAGAGATATGAAAGGTAGTTTAGTCAGATTTAATGTTTCTTTTTCCATGTTCAACTAATTTGAAATTTGATCATGTATTCTTTTTTGATTTTGAGTTTAGAAAATATGTGAGGAGACTGAAATTTAGGCACTATTCTCAGCAAACCAAAACTTTCTCAAAATAGATATTTCATGTTTATAAGGTTTTATGACTGTAAAACCCTCACATTTTTATGTATACTTGCAAATGGGAAAAATTGGGGGTCAAAGCTTTTTACTGGGGAGAAATTAAATAGGTAGAGGTAACAGTCTGCTCTTAGAATGTACCAAGTGTGTGTAGTCAGTGCATAAGACAAGATTTTGAAAGTGACTGGCTCTGCTTCTTGGTGGAGAAAAGTGCATATTTGGAAGATATAAAAGGGGAATAAAAGACAACATGAGCATAGTGGCAACTTACTGTTTCTTATCACACTAAACAAAATTTTTCTTTTTCAGTCCTATGACAATGGGCTGGCACAGGGAGCTGGACTTGAATCTCATGGTAAGACATCTTAAATAAATGTAATGTTTCTTTAGTTTCTTTAAACATCGTGGTCTCTTCTTCAGTATAGATTTCAGAAATTTATCTTAACTCCTAGTGTAAGTAGATTATTTTGGCCCTGTCCTACTTTTGTCTTTTGACACTTTAGTACCTATTTAAAGCTGCTTGGTTCAGTAATCATTAAGGGAGTATTCAAGCCAGAGTATTTGTACAGTGTGTTCTAGTAATTTGTTCAAGTATTAGCCACATGAAAATGTCTTAGGGTTATTTCTTAGGCTGATGTTAGAAACAGCAGGTCATTTTCTTTTTTCTTTCTCTTTTCTTTTCATTTTAAAGAGATTAAGACAAAACAGGACATAACAGAGCAGAGCAGAACAGAACTATGTAAGCAACACAGAATTTCACCAGAAGACAACCCGTAATTAACAGTAACTATCACAGTGTTTCTTTCTGTGAAATAGTTGAGTATAATTTCCTATACAATAGTATCAAACATAGCATAATAGTATAAAAACATTCAAGAGAATGAGAGTATTACAGGGCATTCAGAACCAAATAGCAGAAAACAAACAATGGCTACTATATTATCTCATTTTCCTAGAAAATTTGTTTATACTTTCACACATAATACAATCCAGTAAGGTACAACATGATAGAGCCAATGGAAACAGAAGAGCAAAAGCATGGTACAACTTCAGAGTAAGATGATATTATATCAGTACTGCCTATTATAATGACTTGTTTCCCTCAAATTAGCTGTTCATACCATCGCAGTTAATAAAATCAAACAAACAAGGGCGAACCCATTACAACTAACTAATGCAATCATTATAAGGCTTCAAAACAATGTAATGGGGAGTCATAATTACCATGAACTCTTATGTACTCTTACTATTTCTTACACTAGGCAGACTATATGGTATTTATACATGTGAGTTTGATTTATTTTGCTTATGAGTATGGTCTCAAGTTGCACACATTTATTAGTAAATATCTCAATGTGATCTTTTTTTTTTTTTTTTTTTTTTGTCTTTTTCATTTTTATCGGTACCGGGGATCGAACTCACGGCCGCCTGCTTGCAAGGCAGGTGCTTATGCCGCTGAGCTAAATCCCCAGCCCCAATGTGATCATTCTTAATAGCTGAATAGTACTCCATTGTGTAAAATACCACATGTTTTTTATCCATTCCTCAGTTGATGGACCCTTAGGTTGTTTCCAGGATCTGGCTATTACAAATTGTGCTGCTATAAACATGGGTGCACATATATCACTGTGGTATGATATTTTCAGTTCTTCTGGGAATATGCCCAGAAATAGCTGGGTCGAATGGGACCTCCAATCCCAGCTTTGTGAGAAATCTCCAGACTGACCTCCACAGTGGTTGCACCAGTCTATACTCCCACCAATAGTGCAGGAGAGTTCCTTTTTCCCCACAGCCTCACCAGCATTTGTTGTTGGTAGTTTTCTTGATCCTGGCCATTCTTTCTGGAGTGAGATGGAATCTCAGTGTTGTTTTAATTTGCGTTTCTCTAATGACTAATGATGGTGAACATTTTTTCATGTATTTATTTGCCATTTGTATTTCTTCATCTGAGAGCTGTGTATTCATCTCATGCCCATTTTTGGATTGGGTTCTTGAGTTCCGGGGATCTGATTTTTTTTAAATCTTCATATGTTTTAAACAGAAGTCCTTTGTCTGAGGGACAGTTCACTAAGATTGTTTCCCAGTTTGTGGGTTTTCTTTTCACTATGCTGGAGATTTCTTTTGACATGCAGAAACTTTTTATTAAGACGTGATCCCAGTTATTGATTCTGGGAAGTATTTCCCATGTGGTTTGATTTTTGTTCATGAATTCTCTACCTACCCCTATGTCTTCAGGATGTTTATCTACTTTGTCTTCCAACAGATTTACTGTTTCTGTTTTAATATTCAGATCTTTGTTTTATTTATATTTTAGTTTAGTATATGGTGATGGGTCTAGTGTTATTTTCGGCACCATTTATTAAATAGACTATTGTTTTTCCAGTGAACATATTTGTCCCCTTTATCAAAGATAAGGTGGTTGAGTGTGTTAGTAGTTGTGGTTGTATCTTCTAGTCTACTCTATTGATCTTCAGATCTGTTTTTATTCCAGTACTATGTTGATTGTATTACAGTAATTTTGTAGTATAATTTCAAGTCAGAGATTGTGATGCCTTCTGCCTTGCCTTTGCTGCTTAGAATAGCCTTTGCTATTCTAGGTCTCTTCTGGTTCCAAATGAATTTTAGGAGTGATTTCTCTAGGTCTATGAAGTATGTTGATGGTATTTTCATTGGGATTGCATTGAATCTGTATAACAATTTTGAGAGAATGGTCATTTTCACAATATTTATTCTCCCTATCCATGAACAAGGGATGTCTTTCCATTTTCTGAGATTATCTTAGATTTCTTTTTTCAGGGTGTTATAGTTTTCTCTGTATAGATCTTGTACTTCTTTCGTGGGATTAATTCCTAAGTATTTCATTTTTTTGGATGCTAGTGTGAAGGGTGTGGCTTCTCTTAATTCTCTCGCCATAATTTTGTTGTTAGTGTATAGAAATGCTATTGATTTTGAGTATTGATTTTGTATCCAGCTGCATTGCTGAATTTGTTTATTATATCTAGGAGTCATCATCACAGCCTGTGTTTCTCTGGATAAGTCAATCACTTACAAGGGAGAGGTGGGATTGGTACTTGTATTGCCAGCCTGAGCGCTGGAAGGGGGTGGAGTCCGGCTTTTCTCAGTCCGGTGGCGGCCCATGCATGGCACTGGTTCCCAGACTGGGCTTCTTTGTTGGTATGGCCTTGTTCTTTCTCCCCAGTCCACAAATAGTGCTGACTCACAGGAAGAGGCTTGGGTCTGGCTGTCTGCATATCCTTTTTTGATTAGCTTGCATTTGCCCTTGAGTGGCTACAGAGGCTTTTGCTGTAAAACACCTTGAACAGTTGGTTTCATAAGAAACATATGTCCAGATGCATCCACACCTTGACTGGTTTCAGTGGAGATTATGTCATTGGTCATCCTCATGGTCAAGAGTTAGTTGTACAGATAAAATCTGACAGCTCTAAAAGTTTCTGAGAAGGATGAATCTAGTGCTCACCATTACAGCACTCTGGCTGAATGAGTTTTTCTGGCAAAGGGGCTACGGGATAAGCAAGAGTTGGAAAAAAATACATGGAGTTAGAGGAAAGAGGAAAACAATCCAAACCAAAAAACCAATACATTAATAGTATTTACACTAGGGAATTAGAAAAGCACACAAAAGAATTACATTATCATCAGACTGTGACAGAAATAATACAGATTCAAATTTCCAGTCTAGAGATGCAAAGTGAAATACCGGGAAACTGATCAATCACATGTTAATAGAACCATTACAACATACAGGATATGAGGAATGATAAGGGAGAATACATGATCATCCTACAACCTAACAAGAGAAGATCTGGTAAACAGATAAGTACAACAAAAATGGTGTATTGTACTTTTCCAGCTGTTACTTAGTCTAGAGCAAACTTGTCACAAAAACTAAATGAGTGTGTCAAGGCCTTCTAGGCCTTGATCTCAAATGTGATTTGCTTTATCCCAGTGAGTTTCCTTAGTAGAACAGATTTAAGGTAAAACGCTAACGTGTCTTGAAGAACTGGATTTTCCTAATTTGCCGGACATAAAAGTTTTTCCTTTCAAAATTCATAATATAAAACTTTAGATATTTTTAAATATCTCTATTTCTTAGTCCATATCAGGAATAGTAAAGTTTTAACCTTAATTTCATCTAACTATTCAGTTCCCTTGAAATTATTTCACCTTTTTTATGTTAAATGCAAAATAATGTGCTTATTTACATACTTGTTTAATTTTCTTTTTTATCACTAGCTGTATGATTATTGATTAAAGTATGCATCTCAGAGAAGATAGTTCCTGTCAGGTATAAATACTGAGGTATAACTGCTAAAAGAGCTGTAAAATCTTAAAATTGAGCTGTAAAATCTTATAGCGTTGATAAATTAACTTGTAACTTCTCTCCTTGGTAAAATATAAATGGAATATAGCATTCAAAACTAAAAGTAGAAACAACTCCCTTGATTATTAGAAAGAATTCCTGTGATGTCTCCCTGCTGTAGTATTACCTTCCTGAAGTGTTCTGTGTACATTAATTCTCCATTTAACTACAGTGTATCGCTTTAGCTGACAAATTTAATTATTCACATGGAAATCCTTATTTTAAGCTTTAATATTTGTTTTGTGCCTTAAAGTTTTTTCAAACATTCTTCAGCTAAGGCAAATAAACACAATTTGGTGCTTATGGGTCTGGATTCCTCAAGTGTCAAATTCTGTTATTATTATGAGAAAAAATTCACCATTTTCCTTTATATGTACTCTTGAGGTATTTTAAATCTTATAAGGTTCATTGATCTGTTTGAGTTCTGATGCTTGTCTTTTAGTTGTATTACTAACCTAGTATTTTTTACTTGTGTAGGGTATTGAATCCAGGACCTTTGCACTAGCCCTTTCCTTTCTTTTTTTTTTTTTTTTTTTTTTTCTTTTTTTTCCTCTTTTTCTTTTTCTTTTCTTTTTTTTTTTAATTTTGAAACAAAGTCTCTCTCAATTGCTAAATTACCTATGTTGGATTCAGATTTGTGGTTTCCCTTACAAGTATGTGCCACCATGCCCAGCTCTTAATGTCTTACTTGTCAAAATGTGCTAAATTTTTTTTCTGGTTTTATGTCTTTTCTTAACACTCTTCTAACATTTTTTTGTAAAGCTGGACTTTTTTAGGGACAGTGGTTAACTGTTGGCAAATTAATTTTAGTTTAAAGCATGGACTGTACTATGAAGTTATTTGTGACCACGCAAAGCCCAACTTTGTTTCAGGAATAGCCACTTTCAAAAGCTGATGTAATGCTCAGTGTTTTTAGTTTGAATTGTACCAGTTTGCTTTCAAGAATCCTAAAAAGGAGTTCAAATGGTAATGCTTAAATACCTTTGCTTTCTTTTGGGTAGTTGGTTTTAAAAATGATATAATGTCAATTAGAGACATTATGTGTAATGATAACAATAGTACCTAAAACCATACCCATCATGAAAGAGAAATTCAAACTAGTGAGTCATGCCAAGTGTTGGGCACATGCCTGTAATCCACGTACTTGGGAGCCTGGGACAGAAGGATCACTGGGAGTTCAAGGCCAGCCTGGACTATCTAATGAGTAGTCTTGCCTCAGAAAACCAGAAAAAACAAAACAATGAAACTAGTGAGTCATTGACATGAAAATACAGTGGTTAGTTTCTTAATAGAAGTTACTCTAAAAGGATGGGATAAATTTGTTTTACTTTTCTACTTTAGTTCACTCAAGAATTCTAAAGATTAAATAATTCTCACAGGCAGGAACATATGAAGTATGATAGCTGCTATGAATTTTTAAAGGATGTCACTTTTCCATTCTCCAAGAATCCATACACCATGTAGAACACTAGAAGGAAAATTATAGAGAATGAGATGTATTAGAAAAAATCCATTTAAATTGCTGAAATTAATAAAAATCCTTAGAGCTCTTGATTACTTTCTTGTTGCTGAGACAAAAATACCTGACATCCATGAGTTAAATGAAGAAAGGTTTATTTTGTCTCACAGTTTGTATTCATCTCAGGACCTCTGTGCACTCAAGTGCTTAAATCTCTCATATAAAATGATGCAGTATTTGAACATAATCTATGTACATCTTCCTGTAAACTTTAAATCCTTTACAAATTATGAGATCTAAAAATGTAAATGCCATATAAATACTTGTTATGTTGTATTGTTTAGAGAATAATGACAAGGAAAATGTCTGTTCAGTATACAGTGGTACCTCAGTTCACTAGCTTAATTTGTCCCATCATTGTAGAAAAGATGGCCACATTTGTGTTTATTTGAGAAAGTTGACTGCAATCGTGTTTGTCACTCAGTGCAGATTTTGCAAACACAGTTTTGCTGAACACTTCTGTAAACCAAATTGTTTGCAAACAAAGTGTTCCTGAACCAAACACTGTACTCTGCTTTTTTCCAAAAATTTTTGACCCTCATTTGATTATATCATAGTTGCTGAACTCACAAGTTATAAGGGACCACCTCCTCTAAAACCAGAATCACATGACTGTCCTGCACAAGAACTTGCTCGTCATAGAATTTGGTTCCAAACCTCCTAATTAACTATATAGTTTTAAGCAAGTTGTTTAAATCTGTTGCAAGTCTTTTTCATGAGTAAAATGTTTTTTCTAGCTTTAAATTATCTTAAAATCTATCCTCAGCAATCTTAAAATCTATCCTCAGCAAACTAAGATTGAAGATTTTAGTGTTTAGTAATTGTGAAATTGCTGTTTATTTCATTGTTTTGTAGAATTACTTAACCATTTGTTTCTCCAACCATTTTGTACTGTTTCCAGAGTCATCTAAGTTGAAGTTTATAGCACTGTGTGGTTTTGATTAACAGGAGGATCCACCTTCTGTGGTATTGCATCCCTATGCCTAATGGGTAAACTAGAAGAAGTTTTTTCAGAAAAAGAACTGAACAGGATAAAGAGGTGGTGTATAATGAGGCAACAAAATGGTTATCACGGAAGACCTAATAAGCCAGTGGACACCTGTTACTCATTTTGGGTGGGCGCAACTCTGAAGGTAAGAGAAATAATAAAATGAGGAACCTATACTCTGTTAGTATAAATTCTGCTAAAGGTTTGATATTTGTACTGTACGTTAAATATTGTTAGCAATAAGCTACTAAATTTTGTCTGGTGGCACTAATTAAAACTTTCTTGCGAAACTCAAAATGATTGAGAATTCAAGTTTTTTTATACCTACTTATATTTTGACACTTGTTATATGCCTACTTTCTTATATATCTAATATCAAAAATCTGTTAGTGGAACTGACTAGTAATCCATATAATACAGGGGTCCATCTGAAAGTGATACCAGTAAAGATTTTATGGGAAGTTATTATTCTTAAATGTAATCATAGGTCATTTCTTGAAAAACTACTTAATTTTTTTTATTTAAAGAGAAAAAAGAAATAAAGCAATAAAAGGGTACAAATAATACAGAATTTCAAGAAAAAAATATACAGTAAGAAATCACTAGTTAATCGGTTACATATTGTCATCTTAGAAACAGTTGTCCAAATTATAAAATTAAGGCATATAAAGTGGACATTCATATAGTGAGATTGCAGACAGTTCCGTTCAATGATCCAACAAAAGCTCAGTAATATGGTTTTCCATCCTACACACTGAAACATACATGCAGTTATATCCCTTAAACCACCTTCCTTTCCTCTCTTTTTTACAATAACAATTACACTTTTTGGGTTTTATTACTTCCACAGTTCTTATTACTTTTTTTTGAAGAGAATAAAACCAAACGTGACTATACAAAACAGAGTCAGTTAGAACAGAAGGATGGCCATAGTACATGATGCAAAATAGAATACCAGGTGATCAAAAATGGTTACCATTGTGCCTCTTGCTATTTTTAAAAAGAGTTGCCTATATCATCAGGTATAATAGAATTGATCAAAACAGTACAGAACAAGACCAATAAACTTACACTGGAGACCTTACAGGACTTCAGAAGAAGATAATAGTCAAACCCTAATGGGCATCATAGTAAATCTTATTGCCTTCAAAGTGGTTGCCTATACCCTCAAACTTGGTATTATCAAAAAAATAGAATATAGTAAAATCAGACAGAACAAGATGGGGAGAGCAATACTGGGGTTCAAATCAGGCTAATAGGAAAACAAAAAAGTTACTATAATATATCCCGCTATTTTTTAATTTAGTTTTCCCTTAATTGAAAAAAAAATAAGAAAAAAATAGATTAATTTAAAAAGGGGGGGATTGAGATAAAAGAGGACATTGTAACAGAACAACACAGGTCAGAACCGAACAATTTAAGCATCATTTGTGTTTCACCACCAGATAATTTAACATAATAGTAGTCACCATAGTGCCTCTTTCCTTGAATTATTTGACATAACTTCGTATACTATAGCATCAAGCATATCAAGACAGTATGAAGCTATTCAAGAGAATGAAAGAATTACAGGATATTTAGAAAAAAAACTACTTAATTTTTTAAAAATCTTTTTGTATATTTTTGAATTTTCTTGTTTTTAATACCTTTTAATATACTAACTGCATAAAGTTATTGAGGCAGTAATCCCACAAGTTCTCTGTCTAAATACCTTTTCACCTTTAAGAAATATTGTGTAGCTCATGTATTCTAAAATCAACAAGGATTTTTATTCATTTTCTATTGATACCCTTATTTTCTCTCATAAACAAGACTCATAACACTGTGACTGAAATAAGTTCAAACAAAAATGATAGCAGTAGACTCCTGTTTCTCCTGACATCTAGTGCCATTTCTCAGCATGTGATTTTTCTGTAATCAGAACATTCATTCAAACGGAGAGAGACTGATGTAATGGCTCCCATATATCCATCAACCAATGTCAGTAGTTAGCAGCTCAGAGCAATCATCTGTACTCTTAAAGTACTTTCTTGTATTCATTTTGTTATTTTAAGGTAAATCCTAGAAACAATTTTTATACTATGTAGAATTCTTCAAGATAAGGTAATCTCTTAATGACAATAACTTTTTAAAGACAACCTTAAACTGAGCATGGTAGCACACACACAACTGTAATCTTAGCACTCTAGGAAGCTAAGGCAGAAAGATTACAAATTTGAGTCCTACCTGAGTCACTTAGAAATTTGTGTGTGTATATAAATACATATGTGCATTTAAATATCGTCTATGTAAATATATATGGATATATGGAAAAACATGGATATGTACATATCACATCTAAAAAATTACTCATTTTTTCTTATTAAACATCCAGTCAGTGATGAATCATATCAAGAAGCACCTAATGTTTGGTTGTCTCTCCTTTGGATCAAAGGGCTTCAGAATTGTCAACATGCTTTTTTCTTTATTAAGTTGCTATTGGCTTTTTAAAAAACTTTTTTATTGTAGTAAAGTAAGCCTAACATGCAGATACTTGTTGTATTCACAGTGTTGTATAATCACCTCCACTATTTATGTGCACTTTTTTATCATCCCCAAACATGAAAGTTCTTTAATGGGTAAATGTTAACTTCCCAGCCACTCCATTGCCGCCTTGCCTACCTCCTGGGAACTAACCTCTGTACTGCTCTGTGTGAGTTTGCCTATTCTAGGTCCTTGTGGAATTGTGAAATATTTCTTCTCTGTCTACTGTATTTCACTTAGCTTATTTTCATAGTTCACCTATGTTGTAATACATATCAAAATGTTATTCCTCTTATGGCTAAATAATACTTTATTGCATGGATGTGCTACATTTTTCTTATTCATACTTCTATCAGTGGTCAGTGAGTTGTTTGCACCTATTGACTGTTGTGACTAATGTTGTGATGTACACGGTATGTACAGATTCCTGCCTTTATCTTTCCGGACTTACATGCCCCGATGTGAAAATGCTCCTCATATGAGAGCTTTATCTTTAACTTTTTGAAGAACTACTGAACTTTTCCACAACAACTGCACCATTTTACATTTCTATCAACAATGTGTAAGGGTTCTAATTTCTTTACATCCACATCAACACTTTTTTTTTCTGGTGTGTTTGTTTGTTCATTTGTTTTTAGGAAATAGCTATCCTCATAAGTTTGGAGGATATCTCATCATGGCTGTGATTTGCATTTCCCTAATATGTAGTGATGCTCAAACATCTTTTCATGTGCTCATTGTTGATTTGTATATCTTTTAGGGAGAAATGTCTGTTTTACTTTCTTCCTCCCTTTTTAGTCAGATTTTGTTGGATTTTAGGAGTTTTTCATTATATTCGTTTATTGTGGATATTATCGTTTATTCTGGATGTTAGTCCCTTAACAGTACATGGATAGGAAATGTTTTTCTCCCATTACTTGAATTGCCTTTTAGTTGTTTTTTGGGTTTGTTTTTTTTGTTTTGTTTTGTTTTGTTTTGTTTTTTTTGTTGTACCGGGGATTGAACTCACGACCTTGCACTTGCCAGGCAGGTACTTATGCCACTAAGCTAAATTCCCAGCCCCTTGAATTGCCTTCTAACAGTTCATAGTGTCCTTGGATGCACAAAAGTTTTTAGTTTTGATGCAGTGCAATTTAGTAATTTTTTCTTGTTCTTTTTGTATCGCATTTATGAAATAATTGCCAAATCAGTGACATGAAGACTTTCCCTAAATTTGTCTTCTAATAGTTGTGTAGTCATATGGTGTTTAGGTCTTTTCATTAGACTTGAGTTAATTTTTGTACCATATAAAATCCAGCATGATTCTTTATATTATTAAGGGATTAAAAATGGTGACATTCTACCATTACTGCTAAATTTATTCACTAACATTCATTTAAGAACTTTACTGGCCCTAAGGCATAATTTGTACAGAAAACAGTTAAACAGTTCTCTCTGTCAATGTTAGTTCAGTTCAGCACAGTGAGTTGATTCTGAAGCATCCTCTCAAGATTCCCAGGGAAATGTTGGGGTTTTCTTTTGAGTATCATTGTGAACTTGTTTCTTTTCAATAATCAGATTGTCCCATCTTTAACCTGTATTTGGTCCTTGAATCTTACTGATACAGTCTTAACATTTGACAATTCCTGAAGGAAACCACTTCTAAACATTTTTTAATTTTCATTTTTATGACCATTACCTTAATTTTAAATGATGTATCAATTTCTTGACTTCCCAGCCATAGAAACATTTTAGACATCTTGGTCTATTTTTAAATGTCTTTATTTTTAGGTATCTTTGATTCCTAACTAGATTTACCTTCACTTTTTTCCAGCAAAATGTTAATGATTATTTTATTATTAGTTTTGAATTTGACCCTTTTATTTCTTTTCAAAGCTGTATGCTTGCTTTTACTTCTAAATGTTACATTAGATAACATTCATATTTTGTTTGGTAACAATAATCAAATCTTATTTTTTGCCTAAGGGTTCTGAAATTTGAAAATCAGTAGTTAGCATTTATTGACAATATTTTATTAAACATCATTCTTTTTTAAGAATAGGAAAATTTATTGAGAAATAATGGGAAATAGGACTAGCTCCTGGGAGATAGGAAAGGGCCCTGATTGGGTTGCCAGCCAGCCTACCTTTCTTAGGTTTTATAGAGTAAAGTCATGAGGTAGCTACAACGTGAGTCAACAATTGGATAATAATTGATTGACCAGTAGCAAGTGCATGTGGATGACATAGTCATCAATCTGTAGATTAGCTTGTGTTTAGTCTTAGGTTTAGTAGTCTCAGTTTCAGACTTCATTTTAGTCTTGGTTTTAGTGGGTGGAAGAGGATGGCCCACCCCAATGAGATAACACTTTATTTATAAGGGAAATTTCAAAAGGGTGATACCAATAATCTCGAACTTGTGTTTATCTTGTGTAAATGTGGCCATTGTGACTTCTGTCTTCAGATTCCTCTCCAGTCACAGTTCCCATGTGTTCTCATCCTCTTCGACTCCCCTGAAGCCCAGCCCTGTCTGACTGCCTGTAATATTTCTACCTAACTCAGCTGTCCATAGTATTCCCACCCCACCCCTAAAAGGTACCCCTAACTGCAATTAGGGGAAAGGGGGAGCAGTTTCCATCTAGCTGCTTTGAGCCATAAGGGTCAGTACAGGAGAGACCACAGTCAGTGGCCTTCTCCAGAGAGCTAATCTAATGGGCCCTGAAGTTGTTTAGCGGTTATGAATGTCCTTCACAAGACTGATCTAGAAAGTAGAGCACTGAGGTTATAATTGTTTTTTATGTGACAGCACATGTGCTACATGATGGGAAGTGTCCCTAACGTCAGGATTTCAAAAAGTTTCTTTCTTTATATTCTACTAGTTAAGTGAAAATAAATGAGCAAATTTGTTCTTTATTTCTATCATAATTTTCTTTAAGCTTTATCTTTCTTTTGTTTTGTTTTATTTTGTTTTGTTTTTTGGAGAAATGTTGTTCATCACCACTAGTATCTTCCTATGACTATTAGCACACTTTATACCACCTTATCTTCAAAACTTTCTTGAACTCTTTTGTCTTTTATTCCTTGACTCCATTTTCTTCATAGGTCTTTTTCATCTTCTTAATGAGATTTTGAGATAGAATATAAAATATATGTCCTACATGACTGTTTACAGTTTTTTATATTCTAATCATACTTGTATCAGCTTTATCTTTTAAAGCACTGTAAGTTTTTAATATACTTATATAAAATTATCTCTAGCTTTTGGTTAATAATGATTTTTCGTGCTCCTTTCTGAAATATTTTTAATTTCAGTTATATCAGTTTGTAACACATGTATTAAGAACCTATAATAAAAGTTAAAATGTGATACTTTTAAATGATTATTTTGAGCTGATTAGAGAAATTGTGTTTGATCTAGCTTAATGTGATACAAAGAGCTAAAGTTCCCTTTTGGTTAAGAAAAGGAGAGTGGACTTGGCAAGAAGAGAAAAAAGACATTGTAGCTGATGAAGTTTAAATGTTGAAATCCTCACAGATTTGCTCTTGAGAGGCCTTAACTACAGAAAAACATATTTAAATGATACATATCTGAAATGTAAGGCAAAGTTCAGCATAAACATTTTCATGTTTCATTTCAGCTTCTGAAAATTTTCCAGTACACTAACTTTGAGAAAAATAGAAATTACATCTTATCAACTCAAGATCGCCTTGTAGGAGGCTTTGCCAAATGGCCAGACAGTCATCCAGGTAATTATTTTCTTTATGAATCCAGAATAATATTTCTTTTATTTCCTGAAATCTTTAAGCATCTTTGTCAGAAAATATCACATTTTTAAAGTTAAATTAAATAGTGTATTTTTTAAAAGATAGCTTAAGTCTATTTTTTAAAAGATAGATTATTTGAGATAGATTTAGGGTAGTGACCATTATAAAGGAAAAGGTTATCAAGATGTAGAGGTATGGTGGGCATTTTCCTCAAAATTCTTAGCAATATCTTATTTCATTTGTGATAGTATGGCAGATGACCTGAATGGGACCTTTACAAAATAGGAAAATATTTGTCTCATTCAGAATTGTTAGGCATTATTGGAGCTAAGTAGGACAAACTGCTCGCAATTCTAAAGAAAAGCTATTCTTATTCATTTTATAAGTCATTAATTGAAAAATGTATCAAATTCTGAATACAGGTATTCCTCACTGGAGAAGACCACCTGGATGGCTCTCCTTGAATACAGAGCTGTTAACTCCACTTTGGCTATACCTGGCCCTGTCTCCTCATACTGATGCGTACAGACCTGGCTAAGCCATTTCTTTTTCCCGTCAGCTGGCTCTAAGCAATGTAAATGGGGCCAGCCAAAGTAATGATGCATAAGCTTTGAAGCCGGCTCACAGTCGCTGTTTCCCCACCTCAGAGTCTCTCTAAATGGTTGAGCCCAACAATGTGGCAGAGCCACACAGCTCCAGGGCTGGCAGCTGGGCTTAAGCCTCAAGATAAGAGGCTATGACTTCTTAGGGCTGAAAAGTTTACATATCAGAAACTGAAGCAACAGCCTCCTAAACATTAAATGCTACCTCAATTGTGTTGTGCAGGTTGGTCTTTCTGCATACCCTTCTCTCTGCATAGTGCAGAGGTGCTTTCTGGCTTCCTAACTATCCCAGCTCACAGTACTCAGGTAATTCCCACCTTTCGTACAATCACTCATTCTCTAGCCACTCCCTTCTTTAGGAATGAATAAAATCTGGGTTAGGCCCTGGACCGTGGTCTTTGTTCCATGAACCCTCACCTGGACCAGACTCAGGACCCATTGGCTGCCCTTAACTATAAATATGTATTGGTGTTTTTATTCTCGCCATGGGTTGCACTGGAGGTGGTACTTTGAAATTAATTTGCTAGAATTCCAATCATGTTTCCATGGGGTTATAAATACAGACTTCCTGGACCATGACATGGACAGGAAAAGGGCTTTATATCTCACTTCCCATGTTGTTGTTCTCCAGGTTTCAGTAGATTCAGGTAACTTTTCTAGGTGAGTGCTTAATATCTCAACTTGCACTGTTCACTGTCTAAAACTCAAGAACCAGATACATTCAAACAGTGTGAACAACACCCAGAGTCTGCCTCTTCTCCCACCACTAGTGCTATTCTCCAACCTGACCAGCCATGTACACAGGCTAAGCTGTCCATTTACCTTTCCATTAAAATCAGTGTAAGAGTGAAAATAATTCAGAGCATTGATACTTTTGCTAGCAAGTTGTCAAAGAAGTACAATCAATATATAAACCAGATACAAGGAATAATTGTTTTTAAAGCATTGCAGTAGAATTACAGTTTTTATTTTCAGTCTAAAAAGTTACCTCTTCAGCTCATCTTCTGTCATAATACTGGTGGGAATGTGTACTTGAATCAAAACATAAAAGACGGATAAAATCATATTTTTGTACTTAAAGAAGCAGGAATATTTCCTCACACTCATAAATTAATTTCTAAAGCAAAATATTTTAATTTTTAGTATGTACAGTGCATCGCTCTAAAATAATACATAGCTTTACATGCTTAAAAATGCCTCAAGAAAGCTGAAGGTTATTTTGGGTTTTTGTTTTGTCTTTTTGAGATAAGATATTCACTCTGCAGTTCATTCTAGTCTTAAACTCACTTTGTAGCCCAGATTGGCCACAAACTTGCAGCAATACTCCTGTCTCAGCCTCCCAAATGCTAGAATTACGGGCATGTGCCACCATACCCATCTGCTTTTAATATTTTAAAAATCAGTGTATGATACTATCTTAATTAAATAATTGAAATTACAGTCTCTCAGAAAGTATCTCTTGAATAAGCTTACTTACAGAATGTCATATATTTTCAAAAGAAAATACTTGAAGCTTTGTTCCCGGAGAGATCAGTGACGAACTTTAACATTTGTGTAAGTAATCGTATAGGATGCTCAATTTTCACAGATATAGTAGATCATCTTTGAACTCTGTACACTAGCAGGCATAGAAAATCTTTGTGTGATAAATTGAATATGGAAAGAACTATTCTCAGAGCCTTTAAGAAAATCATTTTAATAATATTCTTTAAAATTAAGTTTTAGTTCTAGTAAATCAAATAACAGATTTGATGCAGAGATTTTAATATGCATTTATAGAAGAAACATTTGAAAAGAGTAACATTATATTATAAAATAAATACATATTTCTAAATACTTCAGTGTGTCACTACAGATAAGGAGGTGTTTTTTAAAACTACTGAAATTTGAAACAAATAAGTTCTGGTCTCTAGCTTCAATAAAATTCCTTCTGATGAAAAATAGAACCATCACTTCATCTGGAGAGATTTTCATTTTCATAAGATTCTATTTGATGTTATTCTGGACATATAGTATGCATCTTTCTATTGCATTATTTCCTGAGAAAGCTTTCAGTTTCTAAAAGTAAAGTTTAGGGGCAGGGAGTTTAGCTTAGTAGTATAAGCACCTGCCCTGGTCCAGAGTTCAATCCCCAGTACCAAAAAATAAATAAATAAACAAAGTGTAATGTCTCTTAATGCCCTTTGTCATTTTAGGATAGCTATATAAAATGATGCAGTAGTATAGAAAAAATCAAATTTGTTTTGGAATCTAAAAATTAGAGAAAAGTAAATCAGAAAAAGTCTAATTGTTAACTTTTTTTGACAAAGTTTAACTTGGTAAAATCTTTTGAACTTTAATAGCTCTTGAGATTACAAATGTTGCCTAATTCAAAAATAAAAAAAAATTTTAACTGCTACCAAGCTGTTTTTTTTATTAGTGTTCCCATAGCTAAGGATTCTTAGCTCTTTAGAAGTCTATATAAGGCTGTGAGACAGCCAGTGCTCACATGAATTCAGTGACCACTTTAGTAGAAGAGGGTTGCTGTCTCATGGAAAAAGGGAAACTGTAGTGAGGCCAGTGCAGAAAAATTGTTATTATAACCAAATAGAATATGAGTTTGTTTTTATTGTCAGATCAAGTATTTTTAGAATAACTGACATCTTAAATAGGAGAATGTTAAAAATAACATAGCATTTCAAGGTGGTTATTTTTGCTTCTTAAAATAGTTCAGGAACTGTCATTAATAAAGCTAGGACGTAGAAGGATGGGATGTATTACCTCTTAAATTCAGAGGTAGGTTTATTTTCACTTAAAGGGGGAAAAAACTATAAAGTCACTTGTTTCTGTGTTCTACAGTAACCAAAAAAGAAGGCATACTAAAGTGAGAAAAGACTTTCATGTTATTGCTATTCTTCCTCTCTGTCCTTAAGAGAATGCTAATAGTGTCATCTCTTCAGTTAGGAGATACTGGTTAATAATGATTTCATTGGAGCCGGATGTGGTGGCTCACGCCTGCAATCCCAGCACTCGGGAGGCTGAGATGGGGTATCGTTGGGAGTTCAAGACCAGACTGGGCTACAAAGTGACCTCAAGGCCAGCCTGAACTGCATAGTGAGACCCTGTCTCAAAAAAAGCAAAGAAAAAAAAATGATTTCATCATATTTTTAATTCTGATTATCTGTTTTTTGGATTTTTTGTTTTGTTTGTTTTTTAATTAGAGTTTAAGACTTGGAGAAATTAAATGTTTCCAAAAATGTGTTTAGCATTTTTCTACATTTATTCTTAATGTATTAATAGTCTGGAAACTAAAATATTTTGTAGCATAATTAGTAAGAATGCCTAGTTTAAGGGGAAAAAATGTCTCCTTTTACAGATGCTTTGCATGCATACTTCGGGATCTGTGGCCTGTCACTAATGGAGGAAAGTGGGATTTGTAAAGTTCATCCTGCTCTGAATGTAAGCACACGAACTTCTGAACGCCTTCGTGATCTCCATCAAAGCTGGGAATCCAAGGACTCTAAACAAAGCTCAGAGGATGTCCATGACTCCAAATGACTTACTTTAAATGGGGAGGTAGGGGTGGTAGGGGTTTGTAGCATAACTGTAGCTCAAGGTTAAAAGCCATGTATAATCATGTGTGCTCTGTTTTTTAAGGGGTAGAGTTACAATCAAAGCTTGTACTGATACCACTTGATATGGTCTCAAGCCAGTAACCTTTGTACTAGGTTTCAAGAAAATCTTTGTGAAGTTTGAACCACAGTGGATTCTATTATGGCTCATAAATGTTTATACTGTATTTCTAAGAAGTTCTTTGAGGAAAACAAAACTATATATGTAGGTTATCTTTTTTTAAAACCCTTCAGTACAAATTTTATCTTATAAAATGAACACAAATCTTCAAAACAAGTTTACAGTTCAAATAGCATTGATAATCTTCAGGTGAGCCCTTAGAGAATATTTAAAAATATTGACTAATAATGGTAAAAATTTGCTTTAATGAATTAATCATGTAACATTATTAATTGAAAACAAATGATCATATAATTTTTTTAAAGAATGATGTATTTTGTCTAAAGTGTGCCAATTAAACTTATGTGACTTATATAAATGAAAGTAATAACTTCGTAGTAAGAATAAATAGGTTTAACTAATACGATAATTTTCTAGAGAGAAGTCTATTATGTATTATAGGGGAAGTAATTGAATTATCTGTGATACTATGAATGAGAAAGTTTTATTGTGTCAGTGTCCTTAATTAGACATTGCTGGGGTGAGTATCAGTTAACTCTTTAAAATCTCAATCATTAGTTGCCTTTTGTGGACACAAAGAAGTGAGTCTTTCTTATCTAGCAGGAAAGACATTTAGTGTTTCTGTTTGTTTTTCTGAGATTTGTGATACTATAAACTGTACTTTTATAGCTGAGTTATTTTTAGCCATTTGGGTTATTTCTTTTTTTTTATTTCATTGCCACCAGTTTGTCAGCCAGTCTAATTTCAAACTATTGGGTTGAGCATCCCTAGTACAAAAATCCGAAATCTGAAAAGATCAACATTCAAACTTTGGCACTAAAAGTGGAAAATTCCACATTTGACCTTATGTGACGGGTCATAGTCAAAACAGAGGGACCCAAAATAGATTATAGAAAATTGCCTTCAGCCATGTGTGTGAGTAATGAATGAAACATGAATTTATTCTGTATTTAGACTTGGGTCTCATCTTCAGGTGTGTGTAAGTAAATATTTTAAAATTTTAAAGCCATTTAAAATCTCAAACACTTCTGAAATGGTCCCTATCATTTTGAATAAGAGATACTCAGCCTGTAATAATTGCATAATTTTTTTCAAAGTAAGTAAATAAAAACATGTAAATACAAAAATAAAACCAGTCAAGTAAATTCAGTGGTACAACTTCACACATAGTCACATATTTTTATAATTCCAGATCAGTGGGAGGGAAAGGTAACCCTTTAAGAGGGTAATAACTAGGGTTTCACTTTGCTTACTGGTTTGTTTTGTTCTTAATTCTATGAACTGGCTAATCATAAAAGAGATGGTATAAAATCTCTTCATTAGTAACCAGCTTGTCAGATCACATCCTTTGTGTGATGGCATTCAGAAGTTTGAGTCTCATACTGAAAAGGAGAAGGAAATCTCACTGAAGGAACTGGGTTTAAGTTAGTCTTGGTAAAATTAAAATTGAATTATTTTATGGATGTCAATATAAAAATTATATCAGATTGTAACATTTTAAATTTATTTCCTAAATTAGAGGGAAAATACCCTAACATAATCATTCTTCCCAAGGGAAATCTAGTATATACTTAGAAAAGTGCTTGTTATTGGCATGCTTAGTTTAATGCTGAATTGTAAAGGCAACTATTTTTTTAACTTTTAATGTTAAAAAATGTTAATAGGTCTGGGATGATGCTCAGTGGTAGAGCACTTAACTAGCATGTGTGAGGCCCTGGGTTCAATCCTCAGCACCACTAAAAACAATTTTTTTTAAAATTACAAATCTTCCAAAGATGAAAAAGTAGGATTAACAATATGTTATCTTTCCACAGATTATTACATCTGTATCTCAAACTAAGCCATCCTTTAGACACTGAGAGTTAAAACAACTTGTGTATAATGACTTTAGGAGTTTATAAAGCCCACATTGTTTTTTCTGAGTTACCCTATGAGATTAAAAGGTAATAAAATAATATTAATTATGTTTATGAATGAAAGTTAGAAAATAATTCTAGCTCAAGTAATTCATAAAACTATTACATATTTTTTAACTCCTTGAGTAATTTAATAGCAAAGGAATATTAGTGATAGAATTGTTCTAGTTGATATACTTGGGATTCAGACCCTTCGGAAACTTTATGGACCAGTGAATGTTCATGTTTCACAGAAACATTGACCAAAAAATACTAGGACTTTATGGATTGTGGAAAAAGCTCTTCTTGTTTCTAAATAGTTACTTAGAAGAAAAATATTTATTAATAAATTATAAGCAATATTCCACATATATGCTCCATCCTTTAGCAGTAGTGACATAATAAGAAAAGACTCACCATCTCAAACAACTGTCCCCTAGTCTAACTTCTCCCCTTCCTGCTTAGCAGTATTTTTTTTATAACAAGAAAAGCTGCTGTTAACCTATTTATCATGTACAGTGTTTTTAGAGTTGACCAGTGATACATATTTGGTATTTGTTAGATTCTTACTTATAAGTAAAATAAAGTCAAATAGATGGTGCTGATAGTGGTCATAGTTTGATAACTGTTGGACCTGAACATAGTTAATAGACAGTGAGGAAGCAGCAGCAGCACTGGAATCAGACGAGCTGCTTTACATCCCGCATGTGCCAGTTCAACAGGAAAGTAGTAAAACAGCTCACCAGGTTGATAGAGGACTAAATGAGACAGTGCATAAGAAGCAGGTAGCAGAGTATCTGAAATAGAGCAAATGCCTAGTCATGCTTTCTGTCATAATTCTCATAAAGTTAGTGTAAAACCTCTTTTCTACAATAAAGGTCTTCACAGTTTAAACTCAGGGAACGTGATAGCAGTACAGTAATTTAATCTACTTATAAAAACACAGAATAACTAGGACAGCCACAGACATTGTCTACAGAACAGGATGACAAATTATGAATCTTAAAATACAAATAAATGAGAACAAACCATACCCATAGCGTTTCTGCATTTTTGTGGAAGTAGAAGACAACTGGTTTGTAAAGCCTCAAGCTGTAGAACTGTATTACCCAGTTTCTCACTGCAAAGTACAGTAGGCCAGTCTGAGAACCCTGCTGAAAGTGGGAAGGGTTTCCACCTTCAGGGGTTAAAGCTGTACGGTAAGATCTGATGACAAATGAGAGCTGTCTGAGCCTCATACTATACTATGTTCCTCTTGAAATTCATGAGAGAGCCCAGAACTGGGGAGAAATTGCTACAAGTAAAATCCAGATTGAACAGGACAAGTGCAATATGACAGAAGGAAGAAAGAAATGGCCAAGGTAAATGTTGGAAGGAAGGCCAGTAGGCACATTAATGTGGACATGCATAATCATGCAAATCACTGTGAAAAAAAAAAGGTAGCTCTAGCTCCATGGAACTAGAAGAGGCAGTATCTAGAGACAGAAACTGGAGTGTCCCTTCATGCTAAAAGCACAAAAAAATCCATTTCCACTTAAAAAAATGAGCAGGATTGCAGTTCTCAAAGTTAGTGTAAGAAGAAAATAAGTAGCTCCCCACGCCCAAAAGACAAAAAACACTTGCAGAGACATGACTAAAAGACAGATGAAAATGTAATACTTCAAAAGTAGTTAACAGTAGGAAGTTAATAGTAATTTATTGTGCTGTCAGGAACCTTAAAACCTACAGTATGAAATAACAGTAACAAAAAACAAGCAGAAATTAGTCCAGATCAAAAGTAAAAGAATTAATAGAAAAATCAAAAAAGTGGAACCTACCTGTAATTCAAAAGCTGGTTTTTTGGTAGAGCTGGCGGGCGGAACTCAGAGACAAACTGCCACCTAACCTATGTAAGAACAAAATGAGAAGCACAACCAGAAAAACTTAAATGATAAGGAGGACCTAACCATAAAACAGGAAATTTTTTGAGTAGGCTACTTTAAGAAATTTTATACAGTAAACAAGAGCAAGCTGGGCATGGTGGCTCACTCCTGTAATCTCAGCACTTGGGAGGCTGAGGCATGAGGAGCATTGCAAGTTTGAGACCAGCCTGGGGTACAAAGTGAGCTCAAGGCCAGCCTGAACTGCATAGCAACACTTTTTCTCAGAAAGAAAGGAAAGAAAAGAAAAAGAAAGAAATTAGAATATTAACTTTTTAAACAAAAGTCCAAATTGCCAAAAAAAAAAAAAAAAAAACAATAATTCAGTCCCACACTGTAAATCTAGCAAACTTTTAAGATTAAATAATCCTACTGTTGCTCAAACAATCCGGAGACTAGAAAAAAATCTCGAGCCTTAAATTGCCAAGAAAAGAAAGAATTCCAAATTCATTTTGTAAAATGAATATAATAGTGTTGATTGAAAAATCTGACAAAGATTGTATCAAAAGAAATTATAGGCCAGTCCAAAAAAAAGTTCTAATGATTTAGTAGCAAGTAACCCAGCAGCCCTTTCAAAGGAAAATAATCATGACTAAGCTGAGTTTATTACAGGAATGCAAGAATTTGATATTAGATGATCTTAATATTCATATTGAGATTTTAAATTATGTGATTATCTCTGTACATAAGAGATTTGATATAATTGAGAACTTAGTAAATATACTCTGTAAGTAGAAATTGATGAGTAATGTATCAACATTATACCTCTGCTTAAAAGCCAGCACCTTAATATTGAAACAAAAGAGGCATTTCAACTAAAGTCAGGAACAACATTAAGCCCACTATCCTTTACTATTTAACATTGTGTTGGGAGTTTGAGCCAAGGAAATTAGACAAAACAAACAGGAATTTAAAAAAAAACTATCTGCAGACATTATATTTCTGGAAATCCCAGAGGGATTTGTTGAAAAACTATTTTAAAAACTTAGTTGATCAAGTGACATTAGCCTTCACCAAATAAGGGCACATATTCTGATTCCATTTAGTAGAAATACAGTATTGGGTAGGCAGAGTTTACATACGCTATCAGAAGTCAGCCTCTTGTTCACCTCTTCCCTTCCCAAGGCAAGTGCTATTATGACTTAATTCATCATCAGTTTTACCTTTTTTGAACTTTATGTAAGTGTATATTGTGTCCATTATTTTTTAACCTAGCTTCTTTGGCTCTGGAAAACAATACAAGGGGACTCTGGTGCTGGTAATGTTCTGTTTCATGATCCAGGTGCTGGTTACATAGGTGCATTCATTTTATGAATATTCATCAAGCTGTACACTTATGATTTGTGCACTCTTCTATAATTATACTTCAATAAAAATATTTAGTTAAAAAAAGTAAAAGACTTTCTGTCTGTATACAAGCCTAAAATAATTAAAAGATGCACTTCAAGAGAAGATCTCGTTGTGATGGTAAAAAATATATATATAAAGATATAAACTTACTAAGGCATGTCTAAATTTTTTTGGCATGTCTACATCTTTTTTTTAGCGTGTTTAAATTTTATATGAGAAAATACTTTTTTAAAAAGAATAAAACTCCTAATAAAAAAAAGTAGACTCAAACAAGCAAAACTATATATTATATTGGAATGGAAGACAACATCCAAGCGCGGTTTTCTCCTTAAGTTAATTTGTAATTTTTAAAGTCTTTTAAATTTTTTTTAATTTGTAATTTTAATGCTATTCTAATTAATAACATTTTCATTGAAGAGAAAAATTGGCCGTAATGAGTGAAGACCAACTACCAAACATTACAACATACTCTAAATCTTCCTTAGCATCACAATTTAAAATATGCACTCTCTCCTAACAATTTCATATCTACAAATTTAGCTGACATTTCCAAATAGGCAATGATACAGTTGCAAGGATCTTGTAATTTTGTAAGCTGTTAAAAGGCACTGATTGAGATTGCATTTATGATAGCAATTCTATGCATTATTAAGGTATGAACAAAAAAGACATTGATAAATTGCTGAGTGAGTTAAAAGTTTAGTATTGGTAAGTAATAGGCAGTCCAGTGGAACAGAAAAATTCCATCAGTAGTCTCAGTGGCATGTTAAAATACAATAAAGGTAACACCTCAAATCAGTGAGAAAATGAACTTTTAACTAAGTACTTTTGGGGATGTCTACTGCTTATTCAGATATTCCCATATTTTTAAATGTATAACTTTATTTGTTTTGAATTTTTGATTTTTGTACTGGATATTTTATAATTTAAAAATAGAAAGTGATAGTGTTCTCGTGTTCTCCTCTCCCTACTCCCTACTCACATCTTGACCTAGAGGTGACCGCCATCACTACATAAAATACATCTGTGACTGTATTTGTACATTGCTCACCTCCATACTTAGAGAGGTATGCACATATGTGTACATATGCGTACTACATAGATGGATTCGATAAGGTAATGTTTCTCTAACAATATGTTACAAATGCCTTTTAATATCCATACTTTTTAAGTTATTAAGACAGTATTAACAGTATCACACTGCTGAAGTTATACACAGTGCCTTTTCACAGTGACAAGTATGTAGCTATAAGAGCCTTGAAAATTAGTCATTGCCTATTTGTGTTTATTTATGCTAAATAGTAATCATTGAGGCAAAAAGTGCATATTTTAAATTTGAGTAACTTCTGGTGAATTGTTTTTCAGTTGTAATAGGGCATCTTGAAACTGAGACTTTAAATATAAACTAATCTTTTGATAATGAAACACTACTTGTAACAATTGTGGCATCGGAAAATATTTTAACAGCTTAATTCCTCAATGTTCATTGCACAGCTTTTAAATATGTGCCACAATTATGTATCAACTCGGTCTGTGCATTACCATGTGTGTTTACACAGGTGTGCACATGCATACATCATCCGTAACAGCTGAAGTGCACATTTTCTGTCTCCAGGACAGGGTTCTCCATTTCATACCACACAATTTCTGTAACTGAGGTATTTATTCCTCCCATCCTCTTGCCTCTTCACATATTTCCTGATGTTTAATTCCATTAACCTTTCATTAAACTGCTAAGTGAAGTAAGAGTTGCCATTAAGAAAGTATATTGGATTTCCAAAACTGATAATCTGCTGTCATAGCAGATGCTTCATTGGAGAGCCTGGTGAAAGGTATGTTTACAAATTCTTGTGAATGTACACACATTTCAAAGTATCTTTTGGGCTGGAGATTTAGCTCAGCGGCATAAGCACCTGCCTTGCAAGCAGGCAGTCGTGAGTTCGATCCTGGGCACTGATAAAAAATAAATAAATAAATAAAAATAACAAAATATCTTTTTGCCTACACCAATATCTTCAAGGTTTCTACCTAACCTATCACTTAGCAGACTCAGTGTTTCTGTTTTGATACATAGATATCTGGTCCCTTTCAATTTTAATTTACTGTATGGTGCAAGACATGGGTCTAGGTTTAATTTGTGGCATGTAGAAAGCCAGTTTTTCCAGGACCATTTGGTAAAGAGGCTATCTTCCCTCCAGTGAAGGTCTTTGGTTCCTTTGTCAAAGATAAGATGACTGTGTTTGGAGTTGTTTCTGCATCTTCCAGTCTGCTTCCATGATTCTTGGATTTTTTTAGGGAGAGAGGAGTCAGTACAATGCTGTTTTTATCACAGTAGCTTTACAGTATAATTTAAAGTAAAGGGCTGTGATATCCCTTGCTTTGTCTTGTTGCCCAACATTGCTTTTGCCATTCAGGGTCTCTTCTGATTCCAAATAAATTTTGGAATTCTTTGCTCTAATTCTGTGAAGCTATTAGTATTTTGATTGGGATTGCATGAAACATATATAAAAATTTGGAATTATGGCCATTTTCACTATGTTACTTCTTTCTACCCAAGAGCAAGGGATAGCTTTCCATTTTCTGATACCTTTTTGATCTCCAAAAGGTCTTCTATTTTATTTGTTAGACTGATTAATCATCAAGATTCCACACACACATACACACCCCAGAAATTGAACTCAGGACCTTGCACTTGCCAGGCAGGTGCTATGCCCACTGAGCTATATCCTCAGCCCCAGACTGATTACTAAGAACCTAAGTCTTCCTTCTTTCCTCTTTTTTTTTTTGTATGCTATTGTGAAAGGTGTGGTTTTCCTACTAGCTCTTTCAGTGAGTTATATATGTACAGGAAGGCTATGATTTTTTAGTGTTGACTTTGTGTCTACCTGCACTATTGAATTTTGGTTATGAAATCTAGAGGTCTTTTTATGGGGTTTTTAGGGTCTTTTATTTAGAATATCATGTGATGGTTTGTGTCTAGATGTCCCCCCAAAGCCTCACAGTCATAGGCGGTTTTTTGGAGGTTTCTGAATCTAGAGTGTGTGATTTGTCATGCAGTCCTGGGATTAAAGGTGCTAGGATTAAGGATGGGTGATTGCTGAATCAGTCCACTGAGTGGATTCACACCAACCTAATCCTGGTAGACTGGATGTAGTATAAAGGACAGAACGAAGTTTGTCTCTCTCTTCTCATAGCTTTTGCTGCTTTCCACTGCCATTAATTGTTGCCCCTCTGCCATCTGCCACTTTGGCTTGGAATCAGCCAATTGTGGATTGAAACCTCTGCAGACTGAGCTAAATAAACCTTTCCTCCCTTTCACTTTGGGTGTTGAGTGTTTTGTTTTATCAACAAGAAAAATAACAGACAAACTTTGCAGCCAGGTAGGGGTCATTGCTGTGACTATATTGACCATGTGGTGCAGAAGACTTTGGGAATGGTTTGTGGGGAGAGTCTGAAATGATTCAGAGCTGCTGGCTAAAAAAGTAGAGCCGTATGCCTTGGGCAGTACTGGATGGAAATTCTGGTCAGAGCTCAGAAGACCAGAAGGCTGGTAGAAATCCTGCTAGTAAAGACAAGGCTCCAGAGGTTTCTGCTGGAAAGAAGGACTACTTTCCAGGTTGTAGGACTTCAGATGATGTCTGTTACAGCTTGGAAGAAAGTGGGCCTGCATTTTACACATGTTCAGAGACTTTGCTTGAGACTAAGATTAAGGGTGGCAGACTAATCTGACAGAAACATTTCAAGGCAGTCAAATATTGAAGGAGTGGCATGACTACTGTTGGTGGCTTATAGCTAGATTTATGTTGTGAGTCAAGAGCAAACAATGCAGCAGAATGATTTAAAATGTTGCAAGTTTGTCCAGAAAGAAAACTCTAATAAAGCTGTGGACTGTAAAAATAGAGCAGAGGAGTTATTCATTGCTGAGAAAGAACAGGAAGGTAGAAAACATGGCCTTAGGGCATCACAACAAACAGGAGGACTCCACCCTTTTAACCTTGAAGTTTGCAAAAGTGAATTTTTGCTTTGGGATGACTGCCCCAGAACTCCAGAATGGTAGCACCCTAATTCTTCCTCAGAATTGGATTCAGAGTGCTCAGCTATCCAAGCACTTGACCCATACAACCAAGAGAGAGGGAAGCCTGGCTACTGTTCCAGCTGGCGGCAGATCTTGGCTTCATCCATGTGACACTGGTTTTGAAGTGCACGCAGAATGCAAGAGTTGTGGGATCAGGCAGGCTTCTACTCAGATTTTGGAGGAAGGCCTGAGAAGCCAGGCAGTGTGCCTCAGAAAGGGCAGTGTGTGAAGCTGTGAGTGTTAAGTCAGAGGTGCACTGGAGACCCAAGAAGTTTGGAGAAGCCAGTAATGTAGAGTATGTGAGGAAAACATGGCAGTGAGCAGAGTGACCCCAAGAGAGAAAGCATGGGGCCTACAACCACCACAATTTCCATAAGGCAGAGCCACGCAATACCTTTAGAGTTCACATTTTGCTATAGATTGTCTCAGATACTGCATGTAGAACTAGAGGACTTAACATTTGCCCTGCTAGATTTTAGACTTGCTTTGATCTCATTCTTTTGTGTCCCCTGGTTAGTGACTTTTGGGATGGAAATGATTATATTATGGCATTGAATGTTACAGTGTTTAATTTTCTTTGCATTTGTAAAGGGGCTCACAAGAGAGGAGACATTTGACCCAGACTTTTCACAGGACTTTGGAAAATCTTGGAGATATACTAAATGTCTTGTGTAAAGGGATGTGCATGAGTCTTTAAAGGGCCAGTGGCAAAATGTCATTGGTTGAATTTGATGTCACCCAAAGCCTAATGTGATCATAAGGTTTTGTTTTGTTTTGTTATTTGGAGGTGACCAAATTTATAATATGTAATTGATTTGTAGTACAATGCTGGGATAAGGGTGCTAGGATTAAGAGTAGATAATTGCTGGAATAGTTCACTAATTGGCACCACTCTGATCCTGGTAAACTTGATGCAGTCTATTTATAAGGGATTTTTTAAAAAGGGTTTTC